TGGAAAAATAAAAAGCTTGGAAGACAAAACCTCTGGTCCCTGTGACCGACCCAGATTGGATCCTGCAACATTATCCTGGGACACGTATATTCACCTTCATTTGTGAGTCACATGTAGGCTTGGGACCTGTATCCTCTTGATCTAAGAGGTCACCTGTCTTGCTATGAATTTAATAATGAAGATTTGTTGATATTTTTAAAAGTTTTTTATTTTTCCATTTTCATAACATATAATCACATGTATACTATTACATAGCCAACATCATATTGTATTATTCCTCCTCCTTTAAAAAAAAATAGAATAAAAAAGTATTCATATATAGTCATTGTGCTTTAAAACTCTCCCCCCCCTCCAGCCTAATTTTGGTTACAATTCCCAGCTATTCTCATCATTATCTTTGTATAATTATACATCCTTACATGTCCCCAATTTGTGATTCTGCCTTTAAATCTCAATAATTTCCCTGTTGTAAATATATTTCATGTTCATTTTTCCATATCTTGGTTTAGATTATCCTTAATTGTCTATAAATGGCAATCCTTACTGTTCAAAGTTCATTACAATTCCCTTAATCTAGTATATGGAATAACGAGCGGTACGCATCTCACTCTGTTCATCATCTTAAAAGTTCTATATATGTCCATGTTTCATATATTTTAACCCATGCTTAATTGTCTTTCTATTGTCATATTCATTCAATTAGCAACTAAGTTTAATTATCACGATATTTTTCTTAAAGAAAAGAAACCAAGTGGTTCTGTTCTTCCCATCTGTTACATACATTTCTGCACCCTGTAGAAATATTGTACTGTACTTGGATAGGGGAAAAAAATGCAACAAATGAGATAGAAGTAGATGGAAGAGAAAACAGATGCAACTCTTCTCTTGGCCAACATGGATGCTGTCAGGTATCATTTCAATTTTGTCATTATTTTCCTTCTAGCTATCGATATCAACCCTTCTGATATTAAGGCTTTATACCGACGTAGCCAGGCACTGGAGAAGCTTGGAAAGCTGGATCAGGCCTTCAAAGATGTCCAGAGATGTGCCACCATTGAACCTCGGAACCAAAGTTTTCAGGAGGCCCTTCGACGTCTGGGCACTACTATCCAGGAGAAGGTAAATGAATGACAGGATTGACACACTGATCAGCCAACCACTGCTCTTTTATGTTGGAGGTGGGTGTGTTCTATATGTGCATGTGAGCACCTGGATCATGATCATATGATTGCAAAGCGTTGTGATGGCTGGATCTGTTGTGGCCCACCAGCAGAGATGGCAGCAGATTCAGACAGTGAGAAGATTGGGGAGAAATATAGGCCAGTCCTGGAGTCTGGGGAAGGCTCTGATGAGGGCTCTGCATTGGAGGCAGAGATGGGGCCAGGGCCATCCGACAGTTATCAGCTGCCTTCGGAGTCGGATATCAGTGGGGCAGAAGAACAGCTGGAGCCTGTTCCCGATGTGCACATGCACAGAGCTGCCAGGAAAGGGGAACAGCTAGCAAACAAGGGAGTAAAGGCACAGGTGGATGGTGAATGGCCCCTCCCATAGGGAATAAAGAAGAGCGAAAGGGGAGAGGAGTTTGCAGGAGACAATTAGTTCAATTCATTAGGGTGAAGATCTGTTTCTGACTTCTTGCCAAGTAATTGCTGTTACAACGTGGTGTTTGGAAGATATCGGTCTGGCAACTCTCCTAATAATGGTCTGTAGTTGTGAAATCTCATGAAAGACTGTTTGCTGGGACTTTGCTTTGATGAAAAATCTGCAAGAAAAAAAACTAACTCAGAGACCACCAAGAACTCAACAAAAATTAAATAATAATCTCTGTCCTTTTCTTCATCTTTGACATAGTTACGTTTTCAATTCTCCACGGATGCCAGAGTACAGCAAATGTTTGAAATCCTCCTGGATGAAAAGAGTGAGAAAGAGAAGCGAGAGAAGGTGAGATTCCTTAATATGAACGGCTTCTTTGTCTTCATTTGACTAAGAAAATTGCCTTTTTCCATTCTTCTGCTAATTGGCTAGAGGGGAAGCCCTAGTTGGCTTGCATTGCTCTCTGTCTCTAGTCAGCAATCTAGGGCAACAAGAGTGAACACAATCACATAGTGTACACAATAAAGACAGAAATAATTGAGATCCATTACGAAAACCACTGTTGGAAGAAATATCCATCTGGGTTCAGTTTCAACTGAGAAGAAAGAGACTGAAAACATGGAAGGTGCTTGAAAAAATGGTTTAATGATGGACAGGACCACATGGTTTGAGGTCCTGGGCAAAAAGAGCACATGGGTGAGAGAGGGAAAGAGATTTATACCTTCTGTTGGGTCCCACCTTGGAGCTCCCTGTTTCTGTGTAAAAAATTGTATTCTGATTGGTTGTCAGACTCCCATGGGGCCATGCAGGGGCAACTTTGTAGTGTCTTGAGTCCCAAGCTTGGTTGAATCTTGCTGGGTGATGTAATTTCCCCAGGTGCCATTGGTGAGTTCTGTTGCTAGATGGGTAGAGGGCTAATCCTACCATGTTGGATGGATCTGGGGTAAGGGCATTTGCTTATGAATAGACCTAGCTATCTCTTTATGTCTTAAGTGAGGACATCTGCTGTGGGCTATTGAGGAACATAGGGGCTATTAAGGGTGAGTCTGCTTCCTTCCTAAAAAGCATGTTTCTC